CCCAAATTTCAATTGGGTCCCGTGGGCCCCAGGTGGGCCCCATCGAAAAATGTTACTTGGGTTTTTTGTTTGGGAAATTACGCTCTTTCCAATGATGTGCATATTGCCGGGGTCGGTCGCGAAATCAGGGGCAATACTTAGAAAGGGCCTCTTTGGGGCCCTCTTTGGGCCCCTTCCTTTGGATTCCCCGGTAGGTTTCTTCAGCCAGATTGAAGAGGGGGCCCAGGAGAGTGTCTGTGCAAATTTTGAAGAAAATCGTAGGGGCCGCCCCATTGGGCCCCAAATTTCAATTGGGTCCCGTGGGCCCCAGGTGGGCCCCATCGAAAAATGTTACTTGGGTTTTTTGTTTGGGAAATTACGCTCTTTCCAATGATGTGCATATTGCCGGGGTCGGTCGCGAAATTAGGGGCAATACTTAGAAAGGGCCTCTTTGGGGCCCTCTTTGGGCCCCTTCCTTTGGATTCCCCGGTAGGTTTCTTCAGCCAGATTGAAGAGGGGGCCCAGGAGAGTGTCTGTGCAAATTTTGAAGAAAATCGTAGGGGCCGCCCCATTGGGCCCCAAATTTCAATTGGGTCCCGTGGGCCCCAGGTGGGCCCCATCGAAAAATGTTACTTGGGTTTTTTGTTTGGGAAATTACGCTCTTTCCAATGATGTGCATATTGCCGGGGTCGGTCGCGAAATCAGGGGCAATACTTAGAAAGGGCCTCTTTGGGGCCCTCTTTGGGCCCCTTCCTTTGGATTCCCCGGTAGGTTTCTTCAGCCAGATTGAAGAGGGGGCCCAGGAGAGTGTCTGTGCAAATTTTGAAGAAAATCGTAGGGGCCGCCCCATTGGGCCACAAATTTCAATTGGGTCCCGTGGGCCCCAGGTGGGCCCCATCGAAAAATGTTACTTGGGTTTTTTGTTTGGGAAATTACGCTCTTTCCAATGATGTGCATATTGCCGGGGTTGGTTGCGAAATTAGGGGCAATACTTAGAAAGGGCCTCTTTGGGGCCCTCTTTGGGCCCCTTCCTTTGGATTCCCCGGTAGGTTTCTTCAGCCAGATTGAAGAGGGGGCCCAGGAGAGTGTCTGTGCAAATTTTGAAGAAAATCGTAGGGGCTGCCCCATTCGGCCCCAAATTTCAATTGGGTCCCGTGGGCCCCAGGTGGGCCCCATCGAAAAATGTTACTTGGGTTTTTTGTTTGGGAAATTACGTTCTTTCCAATGATGTGCATATTGCTGGGGTCGGTCGCGAAATTAGGGGCAATACTTAGAAAGGGCCTTTTTGGGGCCCTCTTTGGGCCCCTTCCTTTGGATTCCCCGGTAGGTTTCTTCAGCCAGATTGAAGAGGGGGCCCGGGAGAGTGTCTGTGCAAATTTTGAAGAAAATCGTAGGGGCCGCCCCATTGGGCCCCAAATTTCAATTGGGTCCCGTGGGCCCCAGGTGGGCCCCATCGAAAAATGTTACTTGGGTTTTTTGTTTGGGAAATTACGCTCTTTCCAATGATGTGCATATTGCCGGGGTCGGTCGCGAAATTAGGGGCAATACTTAGAAAGGGCATCTTTGGGGCCCTCTTTGGGCCCCTTCCTTTGGATTCCCCGGTAGGTTTCTTCAGCCAGATTGAAGAGGGGGCCCAGGAGAGTGTCTGTGCAAATTTTGAAGAAAATCGTAGGGGCCGCCCCATTGGGCCCCAAATTTCAATTGGGTCCCGTGGGCCCCAGGTGGGCCCCATCGAAAAATATTACTTGGGTTTTTTGTTTGGGAAATTACGCTCTTTCCAATGATGTGCATATTGCCGGGGTCGGTCGCGAAATTAGGGGCAATACTTAGAAAGGGCCTCTTTGGGGCCCTCTTTGGGCCCCTTTCTTTGGATTCCCCGGTAGGTTTCCTCAGCCAGATTGAAGAGGGGGCCCAGGAGAGTGTCTGTGCAAATTTTGAAGAAAATCGTAGGGGCCGCCCCATTGGGCCCCAAATTTCAACTGGGTCCCGTGGGCCCCAGGTGGGCCCCATCGAAAAATGTTACTTGGGTTTTTTGTTTGGGAAATTACGCTCTTTCCAATGATGTGCATATTGCCGGGATCGGTCGCGAAATTAGGGGCAATACTTAGAAAGGGCCTCTTTGGGGCCCTCTTTGGGCCCCTTCCTTTGGATTCCCCGGTAGGTTTCTTCAGCCAGATTGAAGAGGGGGCCCAGGAGAGTGTCTGTGCAAATTTTGAAGAAAATCGTAGGGGCCGCCCCATTGGGCCCCAAATTTCAATTGGGTCTTGTGGGCCCCAGGTGGGCCCCATCGAAAAATGTTACTTGGGTTTTTTGTTTGGGAAATTACGCTCTATCCAATGATGTGCATATTGCCGGGGTCGGTCGCGAAATTAGGGGCAATACTTAGAAAGGGCCTCTTTGGGGCCCTCTTTGGGCCCCTTTCTTTGGATTCCCCGGTAGGTTTCTTCAGCCAGATTGAAGAGGGGGCCCAGGAGAGTGTCTGTGCAAATTTTGAAGAAAATTGTAGGGGCCGCCCCATTGGGCCCCAAATTTCAATTGGGTCCCGTGGGCCCCAGGTGGGCCCCATCGAAAAATGTTACTTGGGTTTTTTGTTTGGGAAATTACGCTCTTTCCAATGATGTGCATATTGCCGGGGTCGGTCGCGAAATTAGGGGCAATACTTAGAAAGGGCCTCTTTGGGGCCCTCTTTGGGCCCCTTCCTTTGGATTCCCCGGTAGGTTTCTTCAGCCAGATTGAAGAGGGGGCCCAGGAGAGTGTCTGTGCAAATTTTGAAGAAAATCGTAGGGGCCGCCCCACTAGGCCCCAAATTTCAATTGGGTCCCGTGGGCCCCAGGTGGGCCCCATCGAAAAATGTTACTTGGGTTTTTTGTTTGGGAAATTACGCTCTTTCCAATGATGTGCATATTGCTGGATTTTGTCGATGTTATAGGCCTGAAATTGTTGAAAACGTTTATTTATGCCCCGAGGGCATACTCCCGGGCCCATATATTTGAAGCTGTTTTGTTCGGTTCAGGGGGGCGCTAGCCCCCTAAATTTGGTACCGTTGCACGTAAAATTTTGTCCTCTTTCGAATGACGTGCATTTTTAGCTGTTTTGACGGCTAGAAGTAGGGTTTTCAAAGTTCGTCGATTGTGCCCTAAGGGCATACTGTTTTTTGGGATTTGTGGCCCCCCTGATGGATTCCCCGCATTTTGGCACTAGGATTTTCGATAGAGGACACCATTCTGCACCTCTCCACCAAAATTCAGCGAAATCGTAGGGGCCGTCGATACCTGCTGAATCCCTGCTGAACCCCTGCTGAATCCCTGCTAACTTCCGTTACATCCGAACTCCTAACGTCCATCGCCCTTTGCACCCTAGGCTCAAAATAGAACCAAAAACACCATATTGTAATAAACAATAAATCGATGTTAGCATAGAAAAATGGGCATTATTAGAGCAGAGCAGACGTCACACGAAGGTTTCCCAACTGAGGAGAGGTGCTGTAGGTTTGTAGGTTGTAGGGACAGTGCAAAGTATGGCTCCAGGTTCACAGGTCGACGAGATGGCAGATGCACCGGCCCAAGATCAAAATCTGCACTAATCCTTCAAACAGAGCCAGAAAACCGGCACCAAAGCTGGCTGAGAGTACCAGAAATATGCACCAAACCTGCACAAATGACCAGTTGAAAGCCACACTGAACTCAAGTATTGATATGAGCCACAGCCCACAAGCCTGCCATCTCGGAAACAAAACAAGAAATATGCACTGCAAGACTCGAGCAAAAAGCATGCCACACCAATACACAAGAAGCCTATCCGGTACCCAGTTACCTGCCCCTGGCAATTCATCCAGGGTGATTTTTGTGTGATGTACCTATGAAACTGCTAAAAATTTATTAAGTAAAGTTTTCATTATAGACCACGCAGAGTAAAACAAAGACCACCATTGGATTGCCCGTGATGAGCTGCATCGAATAGACACCCTTTTTAATTTTTATGCAAAAATATCAACTTTGAAATTTGACCGTTTTTACCTGACCTGGACTTGACCTCCACCAGAACGGAACCTAAAATGGCCCTAATGGTCGTGTAACACACACCATTAAATTTGAAATGTAAAAATTGGTCATAAAACATGCATCACACAACCCTAGTATAGTTGGGTCCATATTGTGACCCTTTGAGACAGTAGACCTGACCTCTGTGACCTGGCCTCTGTGACCTGACCCGGCATCAGTGACCTCCTAAGTAGCATATGTATTAGGCGACCGACGCTGCATCGCTGATCTTCGATAACATGCCTTTTATTCGATGTTATAGCGCATTGCTTAGAAGGCCCGTAATCAGTGAAAAGTGCGACCTTTGACCTGACCTGTGACGTCATCGGTTGCACCTAGGTCAACGAAACTCGGTCGCAAGGTAGTTCCCTAGTGGCGCTATCGAATGCCGTATGAATTTTAAAAATCGGTCGGTAACTTTCCGAGGTCTGGGGGGGTTCGAAACGCCCCCCCCCCTCCCCCCAACGGGTGGTAGGGTCACTAGGGTCCGCCAATAGCCCGACGGGGCGCGGGTTAAGTATTGCTGTGAGGTCAGTCGCCTTTTAAGCTAAGAAGGATATGTTCTTTCCTTTCATGTTTTATATTGTCAATTCCTCCATTATTTAGACTTTAAGGGTGCAAAAGAAGGAGATCATGAGTCCGATCCTTTTGAATGGAGAGATTCACAAGGACGGAGCCTCGCTAAGCAGATGTAGTTCAATCTAACAGGGGGATAAGTTATTGTTATGACAGGGAAACTATTTTCACTCTGATGCTAAATGCAGGCTGTTCTGTGTAGTGTGTACCCAGAGTGAAAGTTAGACTCAGAGCTGGAGTTGAATTTTCATAGCTGGAGCTGGATTCATTACCTATAATAACTTTAAACATTTGACTGCCATTCACATGCTAAGGTTATGTCCTGGAGCTTATGCTAAGCTCATGTCTTATGGTTAGGTATATCCTGGATTTTATAGTGAAGCTGACTGAAGTCCTTTTTCACAGGTACTGATTTTGTAATTGTTCACATGTTTGTTTCTGTGATGCACAAACTGCTGATATTGGATTTTCTTTTCAGTTATTTCTCTTATCAAAGTTAAACATTTCTTTCAACACTTTGAAAGTACTCTGGGAGAAATTAGTTATCTCTCATTCAAAATCACTTCACCGAACACGATCGCCCTCCTTACACCTGTCCCGTGCCTGCTCCCTGGGGCTAATGAAGAGACACAACTCTGGTTCTGAGAGCAATTCTGGCAGCAAAACAAAGAAGGCTCGGGGCAGTAGGACACCGGAAGGAATGACGGCAGGCAGCGGCAGCGGCAGCACTGTCTGCGAGGTGCTTCCAAAACCTCTCCAGTCGGAAAATGACAAAAGAGAGTACAGGTTAGTGTTCTGTGTGCAGATGTTTTGTGGCTTTGAGCATGCCATGTGTTTTTTCTTCTTCTTAAATGTCATTTTGTTTGTAAATTATTAAAGTTTTATTCTAAGTTAAATTTGTGATTCACTCTGCTTACCAATCTCGAGTTACTAACTTACTAAGGTCTCGAGCTGCTCGCGGCTATTCGACCAGTGATGAACCACCCGATGCTGTCTGATTGCAGGGCAATCAAGCTTCCAAATGGCCTGCGAGCTCTGCTCATTTCCGACCTCCGTCCTCCGCTGGAGAGTATGAGCAAAACGAAGCTCCTGGCCCGTCGCAGTCGTGAGGGTAAATGTCCGATCGAATCGTGAGAATCTATCGAGAAATGGGCTAATGTTATGCAATTTGTATTATTTGACCATAGAATGTCTCGATGTTTTCACTAAGAATGTGCTACGAATGCTGGTATCGCGCCAACAATATTCAGTTGTGTGTAAAATTATTTGAAAATGTATTTAAAAACGTATGCGATAAGCCACACAGCATCCACAAATTATTCGATCCTTGGTTGCAGATGCCGGCGAGTCTGACGGCTCGGAGTCGGAAAACGAGAGCGACGGAGAGGAGACCGACGAAAAAATGGTGAGAATCGCGCTTCTCCTCTCTGAAAGGGGTGTTGTGTGATATTTTACGCTACGCTGTGATATTTTACGATGCGCAAACGTTGCTTTGTCAGATTGCTGACAACGGAACAACATTACCTACAATAAGACTAACTTTCCGTGACAATGCCCCTTCCAGTCTTAGTACCTGCCTCATGCGTCTTACTCACACCTGTCGGTCGTGTGTTGTGATCTGATCGGGATGCCGGCCGTGTTCGGGACCCGAGTGGAGCGGCGGCCGTGTGTGTGACCCCGGGTGGACCGGCGTCCGTTTCAGGCGGCCGCCGCCCTGTCGATCGGCTGCGGCAGCTTCTCCGAGCCGGACGAGATCGAGGGACTGGCGCACTTTGTCGAGCACATGGTGTTCATGGGCAACAAAAAGTACCCGGAGGAGAACAGCTTTGACGTGTTCGTCAAGGTAAGGCAGTGGTTTGAAACTAGCGCGTTTGTTGAACTCACTTACTGCTGTACTTTGTTGCACTTAACCGGTAAACTAATCAAAATGCGAAGCGACCAGCTTTGTGATGTTTCATTTGCAGGATTTTGTCATGTGTGAACAAGTCGTTTTTGTCCTACAATTGTAACAGCTTTTTGTAACCGCTATCAGTGATAATGTTCTGTGCTGTAAAGGATGGCTTTTGTATGCTAACTCAGGATTTGTTTGCTATTTCAAACATGCCCTCTCTCGCGATACCCACATACTTTTGCACTTCAGCATGCTGATCCCACCCCACCCCCGTGCCGTCTCCCCGGTACAGAACAGCGGCGGCTCAACGAACGCGCACACGGACTGCGAGCAGACGGCCTACTACTTCGACGTCAACTCACCGCACATGCGCGAGGCGCTCGACCGGTTCGCGCAGTTCTTCATATCGCCGCTGATGAGGAAGGATAGCATGCAGCGCGAGCGACAGGCCGTGGAGAACGGTGAGGAGGGAGGAAGGAACGGGAGAAAGAGAAGAGGGGAGAGAGGAACGGGTGAAGGCGAATTGCCAAGGGAAACACGGGCTTCTTTTATGGAGAAGCTCTGGATATCTATGGATTCTACGGCTGTTATAAATTAGAAAGTGTAGTAACATTTGAGTTTCACTTACACCGACGTTGAGCCCGTTTTCCACATATCACGCCAATCCAACTTACAAATTGTTTTTAGTTTTGGTGTCAGCTCATAGAGATCAACAACATCGACAAGTGACGACAGAGCTCATTTACCTTCTCTGACCGGCTGTTGCCCTCCCCGTGTCTGCCAGAGTACCTGGAGGCGTTGCCGAACGACTCCCACCGGGCTGACCAGCTCCTGGCCACCCTGGCGCGGGACGGACACCCGATGGGAAAGTTCACCTGGGGCAACATGGAGTCACTCTCGGAGAGTCGCACCGGCCTCAAGGACGACTGCATGCACGCGCGGCTGCACGAGTTCTGGCGGCGCTACTACCGGGCGCCGTACATGACGCTGGCCGTGCAGGCCGACCAGCCGCTGGACACGCTGCAGCAGTGGGTGAGTCAGGGCTCAGTGTAATGGGGCGTATCTTTGTAGTCGGTGCGCTCTTAAGAACTAATAAACAAACAATGGGTGAGTCAGGTGGTGAGAAAATGGACGTGTTGATGCAATGAACGTGGAATACGTGCTGATGCGTCCCTGTTATGCTCTTTTGCTCGTTATTTCTCTCCGCTGCCCGCTCCCGCTGTCTCTCACACTGTCCGCCCACGCCAGGTGGTGGACATATTCAGCGCCGTGCCGGGCTGCTCGGAGCCGCGGCCGTCGTTCGCCAGTCACGGCCTGCCCTGGGAGCCGAGCCGCTTCCACCGGCTGTACCGCATCATCCCCGTGAAGGACTTCCACCAGCTTACGGTCACCTGGCAGCTGCCCAGCATGGTCAAACACTACCGCACCCGGCCGCTCAACTACATCTCGTGGCTGATGGGCCACGAGGGCCGCGGCAGCATCCTCTCCTACCTCAAACACAGGTGAGTGGGTGACTCGCCTCCAGGCGCCGTGAACCCAAACCATTATCGTCACAGGCGAATCAGAGAAGTAGCGCGAGATGTACGATTCGTCTCTCCTATAAAGAATTTTATGGTGCGATGCGTTTTTCGTTGCTTCCAGTCTGAAACGAAAAAAAAATGTATACCCACCACGCTCCACGCGTAGCAGCGCGTGCTATTACTGTGTGCCTCCACTGCGCGCAGGATGTGGGCTGTCAGTCTGGTGAGCGGTAACAGCGAGAGCGGCTTCGAGCACAACTCGTCGGCCTCGTGCTACTACGTCACCGTGAAGCTGACGGACGCCGGCCTGCAGCACGTGCCGGACGTGCTGGCCGCCATCTGGGCCTACATGGCCATGCTGAGACGCATCGGACCACAGCAGCGCATCTACGACGAGATCAAGGACATTGACCAGGTGGGTGCGAGGGTACACCGTGGGTGCGCGTCGCGATGCAGGAAGGATGGGAATGAGGTAATTTCAGTCCCAAATTTTTCAGTTTTCTTATGAACAATGTAAACTGTGGCTCTGGTTCAAGCGCAGCGTAGCCTACTATGCCTACTATGCAGGTGTTCTCTCGAACAAGAAATAGCTAATAATGGAAAGTCCTGTTGCAAATGCTGATATTGCTTTCGTTTCAGGGGTCACACACCACTGTATTATCGTGATGTATTGCTTTAGATGTTTGGTATTAACTGTGCAGTTGTGAGCTCAAATGGATTAGCATAGTTACGACTGGTTCCATACCGTACTACTGAGATTTTTTATCTCTGATGGATATACAATTTCAATTTCAAAAAGGATTCAATTTGAAACAGATAAAGTTCAATTTGAAAAGAAACCATGTTGAGTAACTTAGTAATGTACTATTACTCGTAAAGGGATGGGTTGAGAGCCGGTTAACGTCTTCTAATTCGTAATTTGATTCATTTGATATAAAAATGCCCTTACCTTACTTCTTAGTACTTACTTGCATGCCTATATGCATTAGGTACCACGTAACGAAACGAGCGAATGTTTGGTATCATCTGTATTGATGCCATGACACAGAGATCGGAATGAATGGGCAGGTAATCGACTCTGCCAGCGGACAGAAGTCGGACCCGCTGCGACCCGACCACGGGCACACATTTCAAAGCTGAAAACAGTGCAGCGGTGCGGCAGAGCCGCAGCTTAAGCAGGGACATCTTAAACGCCCATCTTAACCCTATTAGTGGCAGGCTCCTGGCTACCCCATATTAAGTGGCAGGGGGGGCTGTTTACGACCCCCCCTTGATATCTCGAGATCTAACCGGCCGATTTACAAAATTCAAACGGCATTCGATTTGGCTCAACGAGATCTACATTTCTAAAAAAAAAAAATGTCAATAGGGGGGTAGAGGGGGGTAAAAACGGGCAAATTGCAGATACATTTTAGACTGTTTATCACGGCCAGGTTTCTGAACCAATCTTAACGCAACTTTTGCCGATCGATACAGAATGAACCAGGAATTCACATGGATCCTAAAAATATGCATTTTCAAAAATCATAGGCGGATACAGATCATTGAGATTGGGGGTAGGGTAGACCGGGGCAAGTCGCCCCGCCGAGGTAAAACGCCTCGCCGATGTTTCTCGGAACTGGCAGAGTTCTGGGGAAACATCCTCTCTTCTATAAAACGTGCACTATATGATCATTATATGAGCAGACTGGAAAGAAATTGTGATGACTCTTTCGGGAGACATAGCCAAAAATGTGTTTTTTGAGTGATTTTTATGTTTTGTTGTCAGATTATGCATCATGGCGTTCTTTTATGGGCCACATCAGGTTAACGACTTTTATGTATTTTGAACAACTATTGTCTAACGCTTATCATGCCGGGTTGGTTCGTGTTCAATTATGTCTTGCTGGAGTGCAAAGCGTTGTTCTCTGACCCAACTACGTGATGGGGTAAAACGCCCCAGTAGGTCGCGGGGCAAAAAGCCCATGGGGCGTTTTACCTCATGTGTTGTTCGGGCTACCCACTTTCTAATGTTCGGTAGCTGGCGAACAGTAAGTTTCTATGCCTTTATGTGTATTTTTCCCAGCAACTGGATGGCAAAGGAAGTATTCTGTAAACATTTGCATTGCAATAATTTATTATTTGGTCTTATGAGGCAGGTGAAAAACCTGTTCATACAATAGTGTCATAGCTGAACACCTGACAGGATGGAAAGTGGTAACTTCAGCGCCGTGCCCTCAGAGGTGTAACGGACCTCTCACATAAGATTTAGCCAACTACCACGTTAAATCTGTAATCTAAAGTATGGGGCTACTTGCCCCATGCCGTGGGGCGTTTTGCCCTGGGGTTGGGGCAAAATGCCCCATTTACAGTTGCTTCACAAATCACTTCCTAGGTTGGAGTCCGATCACAAGTGAATGAATTTGAGGGGTGCAATTTAAAGTAAAATGTCCAAAGAACGCATTGAGCACAAATTTGGCCTTCCAGGTGATTTGGGACAAAATTTATGCGGCAAAATAAATTATCTGGGGCGTCTTGCCCCAGGCTACCCTACACAAAAAGTATAGTAAATAAGGTTTTTGTTGGTACTGTTTCTAAAAAGGGTGGCAATGGTCTTGTTATGTTACAATTTTCTTATGAGAGAACGACTAAAATTGTATTGGTCATGCATAGGCGGTGTCAGGGCACCTATGTTGGGAGGTAAAAAATAACCCCCCTTTTTTGACGCCTGGATCCGCCTATTATAGCAAAAACGTGTCAAAAGAGGATGCACAATACTTTGTATATGTTATCACATGATACCTTTCATTCACTGTTCGTAAAACTGGTGCAGCATCGTGATCTTCGCCCAAATGACTCGCTTCACGAATGGGACCCCCCAATTCCCAGTGCTCTGGAGCCGCCCCTGGTAAAGTTATGAACTTGAAATTTTCAGGGAATGTGCCCAATTTAGTTTTAGGAAAAGTCAGAAAATTTCAGCATCGTAGCTTCAGCGGTTTCGGAGATATTCCCGAAAAACCTGAGGGGTGGATAAAAACAACCCCCCCCCCCCTGCCACTAACAGGGTTAAACGGAGGTCGCGTTCCTCAAGGCACCCAGCGAAGTACTTCTGCACACGATTGCATGCCCTGAGGCACATCCGCAGGCACAGCACACGTGTAGTTTGTTCTCTTCCGAGCCCGATACGTTTCAAAATGAATTATATCTTTTTCTATTTGTACATATTTTAACTATTTCAAAAAGATTTTCATCTTTTTTGAATTGAAGTTACCTTATTTCAAATTGAAGTACAACTTTTTCAAATTGAATTACACCTTTTTCAAATTGAGCTACAACTTTTTCAAACTGAAGGAAAAAGGGTGTAGTGATATGCGCCATTGTGTTGCGTAAGAGTATATCCATTAGATTTTTTTCGAAATCGGAAAACTGGAATGATGCAAGGAGTGTTTTCAGTGTAAAATATGTCATAAGTTCATCCAGAAAATATGTAGTCCACCTGTATAAAGGTTTATTAACTACGATTACGTATTTATTTACCCAAAGCCGCTGTTTCCCCAGGTCTTTCTGTCAATTTTTTTTTTTCAAAACGATCGGGCGTCCCCTGGTTCTATTTTACTTTGGAATTCTCAGTCTCCTTGAACGCCTATCACGGCTCCTTCGTAAACCAACCCCGTCTAAGGCAAACTCGGGGGAGTACCTGAAACCTCAGAATGCTATTCACAAGTCATAAACGTGCCGAGTGTGCTGCAATGAATGGCTTGCAAACGAGGGACAGCGGCACGACAAGAAGCTCAAGGGCAGGACGGACATTATTTGCGCACGTAGGCGGCGAGGTAGTGGATTCATCTGCCCGACGTCAGACATGGCCTTGGCGGCGGTCACTCAGTCGAACCCCAGCTACAGTAAACACGTCTGGCTCGACGACGACGGCCCGGGGCGATGGGCGTCCTTGGTATCTCCTGGTTGGTAGGCGGGCGGCGACTGGCGGGCCTTCCTCGACTGGCATTTGTTTCTCGGCTACCGAGAGGGTTAGAGGCGCTCGGACGGTCGGCTGTCTCGGCTGGCGAGCCCGGGACTCTCGACGTCGCCACGGTCGCTGGTCGGCGCACTCGCTGGGTCGGAGCTGCTGCTGTAGTGGGAAGTCGAGGCGCTGGGTTCGGCGCTGGTCCCCGCCATGACGGTGTCGCTGTCGCTGCTGGTCGCGCTTGCCGTGCTGTGCGGCCCGCTGGTCGCCGGCCAGCATCTGGTGGCCGTCACCCAGCGCGGTCTGCTGCGACTGGACGAGTCTGGCGCGCTGCTCGACTGGCGCCGCGAGCAGCTGCCCCCCTGGCAGCTGGGCCACTCGGTAGCGCTGATACCGCAAAACAACACTGTCTGCTGGTTCAGAGCGCCGACCGTCGACCTGAACCCTCCCGGGGCGCTGCGCTGCGCGCTGCTGGACAACTTTGGCGAGACGTGGGACCTGCCGGTGCCTCGCCAGCTGCCGCTGCTTCAGATCACCGCCCTCGCCTTCGACTGGACCGGCCAGAACTGGCACTTCACCGGCTCCCAGGCGCGCAAACTGTGGAGCAGCTTTGTCTGCAGCTACGAATTCGAACGCTGTGTCGACGTGGGGCCCCCGTCGGAAAGACACTACTTCGCGTCGGCATACGACATTCCCAACCGTCTGCTGCTCCGTCTGATCCCCGATCAGGACGGCCAGCGGCGGCTGCAGGTGGCGCAGCTCGACGGCTCCGACGCGCGAGACGTGCCTGTCGAGATGGGCATCGCCGTGGAGTTCGCCGTGGACCCGGTCGGCCACCGCCTCTACTGGACGGAACAGGATGAAGACGAGAAGACGATGGCCCTCTACAGTGTCAACTACGAGGGTAAGGACAAACAGCGCCTGTGGGAGCGCACTGATGGGGGACATATGATCTTGAACGTCACCGGTGGCAGCGCAATCGTCGCCTGGAGTCCGTTGTACAGGAACCAGATCGCCGTGCTGGGCTTGAAGAACACCACCGAACCGGCTGCCAAAACTCAAGCAACAGAAATCCAGGCTCTGGACCAACTCGACGACCTGCTGACGCTGGCCCTTGTCTCTCCGGAGGAGATCATCTCCCAAGAGTTCTGGGAGGAGGACGTAGAAGACAAGGGCGTCTGTAGTGACTGCTCTGGTGTCTGCGTACCCACGATGGTAGACGGTACGGAGACCGCCACCTGCTTCTGTCCGCAGGGCGAGCGGCTGCTGGGACTGCGCTGCTGGCCGCAGCACCCGGCTTACGCCGCCGTGCTCGGCGCCGAGTCTCTACAGACGGTGAACCTGCAGACGGGCGAGGTGACCACGCTGCTCGCCAACCTCACCGACGCCGGCCGGGCTGACGTGCTCTGGGCGGGTGGTGAGCAGTTCGTCCTGTTCTGGGTGGATGTCGGCGGACTGTACCGCGCCGAGTGGTCGCCGGCCGGTCTCCAGGGCGCCGTCGAGCTGCTGGTCCCCTCCACTGACTCCGAGCGTGTCATTGACGTGGCTGTGGACTGGAGTCAACGCCAGCTGCTGTGGATGTCTCGGCGTGACGGCAAACACATGGTGGTGCAGCTGTCGCGCCTGGACGGCGCCCACCCGAGGACGGTCCTCACCCAGCCGTGGTCCGAGCAGCACCTGCTGACCGTGCACGAGACGGGACGCACCTTCACCTACCGTCAGCTGGAGCCCATCGCGGGCGCGTGGACCGTGCAGCGGTGGACCATGACCGGCGAGTCGGCCAGCAGGACGGCCATCATCACCGCCGCTGCCGACATGGCCGACTCCACAGTGGCCGTGTCCATGACCGGGGACGAGTTCCAGGACCGCACCCTGTGGCTGGACCGCACCTCTCGGTCGGTGTACTCACAGCCCAGCGCCGCGCTGGAGCTCTGGAGCGAGGACGAGCGAACCACCCTCCTCACTCACCCGAGTCTGGAGCACGCCGGCGGCCTGGGCCGGCTCGTCGATGATCGTCTTTTCTGGACGGACACCTCCACTGGCACGCTGTGGTCGGTGGACGCCCTGAAGGAGGGTGCCGAGCCCCGCGCGCTGGCCGAGGTCCCTGGCGGCGGCGCGCTGCGTCTGCTGCACCCCTGGACCCAGCCGGCGGCCAGTGAACCCGTCTGCGGCCCGGGGGCGCTCCAGTGCTCCCAGCTCTGCCTGCGCACCGTCGGATATTTCCACTCTCCCTCGGCCGAGTGCGCCTGTGCGGACGGACTTCAGCTGGCTGATGACGGGAAGACCTGCGAGCTCGATTACAGGGTGTTTCACTAAAAGTGTCAAAAAGTAAAAGGTCATAATGCACATAATAACAATGTTTTCTAAGGAAATTTGCATATCATTTCATCCGCAATTGTTGGACATTTGAATATATAAAAACGATATCACCGTCACTCAAACCTATTCCACACATCTGCCCCTTCTTTTGATGCACCGTTTCGGCACGTGTCCGGAGGTGCCTCACAGCCCGTTTTCATCTTCAGCGTCCAGACTGTCGGCAAAGCCTTGAATTGTGCTCTTCAGCTCCCGAAGTGATGCGACTTGAGTCTTCCTCAGCTCTGCGAGAGCTACTGAGTCACTGACCAAACCAGAGGCTTAGCGGTGACAGATCGGGGCTTCGCGCTGGCCAGGGGCGGGCGGCGAGGCAGCTGATTATTCGGCTCAGGAGCTTCTGGTCCAGTCAGTTCCTGGTGGCTACAGCCGTTACAGTGGTTGATTTTAATAACTTGTAATGCCCTGGCTATTTCTGATGTTGGAATTAGCTTCTTGTTATATTCAAAGGCCCTCAAAAAGACCCTGACCTTCTCAACGGTTTCCGCCGAGAGGTGGGGGCAACCCCGCCTTTTTTGGACTGGAACCGGCATCGAAGAAACCCTTTTAAACATCTCAACAAGCCCTTTGAAACTTTTATAATCTGGAACGTAGCGAGGTGAGAGAGTAAAAAGTTTCCTGAAAAGTCGGCATACGGTTTCAATGTTTCTGATGGCACCAAATGTACATAAGTGTAATTCATCCCTCCTGTTGCGGTGTAAATAACCTGTTCTTGTTCTGCATAAGGAAAAAATGACTAGTAACTTTGGCCTCCTGCCCTCGCTCCGTATGAGTGTAAAATATATCTTAAATGGATAAATAATAAATGTCCAAAAATTTGCAACAAAGCCACGTGCGCAGACACGTGATTTGCATATTCTATATATCTTTGATAGGCATTTACTTTTTGACACTTTTAGTGAAACACCCTGTAGAAGAATGCATCGCTGAGAATAGACTTCGAGCAGCACTAATTAGTAGCGTTTCGTGAAATCTAGCTTGCACTGAATTACCTTTATCTGCCCGTCACGTGTGTTTTTCGGATAATGCCGGCATACATGTGATGCGACATGTATGTGACTTTGTTTCTTTTCGTGCGTTTGCGAGTCTGTTGCTGTGTGTAGTGGCTGCACAAATACATCTCAGTTTGGTTTTTATGCGTATTTTTTGGATTGGAGATAACGTTTTTGCGTTGGTTACTGCATATGTTTGCAATGCGTTGGAATTTAAGCCCGCTCAACGAAATACCGAAGCTTTGACCTTTTTTTCAGAAATTATGGGCTGAGAAACACAAAGGAATAAATCCCAGAGTCTTGTGTCAGACAGTTTTTTTATTTTATTTTTTTATTTTTGTTGGGTTAGGCCCTTTCGGTCCAATTAGACCATTTCAGAGCCGGAAGGATGATAGGAATTAGGGGGAGACATTGGTCTGGGCAGGCACCCTAGTGAGTCGCCGGGGCTGAGCCCGTCCAGAGGACAGGCCACCCAGCCCCAAGGCACTCACTGCACCCGGCTACGGGGTGCGCTCCCTCGGGAGCAGCGGTGCCGCTCCAAGGGAGCAGCCCGCATGAAATAAAGTTGCCTGTCCAGCCCGGAGGGGGGTTGCGGCGTGGAGGAGGATTTCAGTATTCTGAGGATAGAAGCACGGAACGGTGTCAGACAGTTGTACACCACACAAGTAAAAGCACACCTTAACTGCAGATCACGAAAGCGGGTAGACCTCTCCCACAAGGTTGTGGTAGGTAAGGTTTATAGGAACACAGCAGCATTACGCAATGTCAGTGCAGGCAGAGGTGGACTTGCATCCCACAATCATTCCGTCCCACAAACTGTGCGGGACCGTGCGTGCGTGAATCCACCCGTGACCTACTCCCTCGCGTCCGGCAGATGAGTTTCCGCTATCAGGAGGAGTCGTCGCCACAGGACTGGGTGCAGTCGATGGCAGACAACATGCAGAGCTATGAGCCGGAGGACTTTATCTGTGGCGACGTGCTGCTGCTGCACTACGACCACGAGGTGAGCCGCGCGCGAGCGGTGTGATGCGGACTGGGAGACCACATTGCACGGACGGGGGGGGGGGGCGGGGATGGTCGTAGTGGCGCTCTTCATTGCTGACTGCGACAGATTTTGCCATTTTGTTCGTCCTCACTTCTCAGTGGTCCGATGCTGTTTTGCACAACTGGTCATTCACTGTCCAGTGTTTGTCTAAACTTCTAGGCACATTGAAATCATCCATTATAACGGGATTTATCGTTTTATTCTGCTAAAACTGTGCTCACTTGCCGACTCGCCCACTATTTCCGTACGACCTGACCGTTCCGCCCTCTATGTCGACACCGACTGACCTCCTCTCCCTCCACTCCCGCTCCAGCTGATTGCGTCGTGTCAGGACGCCATGCTGCCGACCAACTGTAACATCATGCTCAGCTCGCGGACGTTCGAGGAGACGGGCGAGTGTCAGCTCACCGAGCCCTGGTTCGGCACACGCTACTCGGAACAAGGTGCGCAGCACGGGAGTGGGATGGGCGGGAGAGGGTTCCTTGGATGTCTTGTCACAACTTTCAGCTGGATATTGATGGAGAAAAAGAAATTTGACGAATGACCCAGTCAAAGCGTCATTTAAAAGCTCTGTTAGGTATTTTTAGTTGTTTTAGTCTGACTAACAATTTGACCTCAGCAGTCCGGGCGCGTCCAGATGGTGTCCCCCCCCCCCCTTCACCCTTTCTGAATCCCCACCCTTTCGCTGATCTCTGCTTACACTGAATCACTCCCCCCTCCCCTCCACAGAGATCCCGGCGGCCTGGCTGGCGCGGTGGCGCGACCTCTCGTCACTAGAGGGCAGCTTCCACGTGCCCGAGGTGAACCCGTTCGTGGCCCGCTCGTTCGCCCTGGTGGAGCCCGATGTGCCGCACACCTCGCACCCTCGCCGCGTCATATGCCGACCCGACGGCGAGCTGTTCTACCGGAGGGACTGCAAGTTCAACCTGCCACGCGCCTACATCAGCGCGAGGCTCTGCTCCGACCTGCCCATGCAGTCGGCGCTCAAGTGAGTACGAATCGGAGCGGTGATTGGATTGCTACAGGATGTCCCTTTGTGGGGAATATTATGTCTGTTGACGAAGAGGTGGTGTAATGTGAGGTTTTAGGAAGGCATAGGAGGGCATGGATGGGAACAATTCACTGGTATGTTGGATTTCAATGGTGTGCTAGTCAGCACTGGTAATGGAAAAGTATGTAGATAGGTATTGTAGATGTTATTGTGTGTTATCACTACCAACGATTTTGTCCTTCCTTGGAGTTTAACTGACGCCACCGTCTTCCCGCAGCTACGCGATGCTGGACCTGATCGACAACATGCTGACTCACCAGCTGACCGAGACGCTGTACCCGGCGATGGCCGCGCGACTAAACTATCGGCTCGAGTCGGGAGAGAACGGCTTCGTCATCCGCGTGGACGGTTTCAGCGAGAAGCTGCCGGTCAGTGGGCCGGCCAGCTCTGGGTCGGTAGACGAGGGATGGGGGTGTGAATACCGACGCTGAAGGTTTTTATTTTGAGTAGGTGTTGATGAACATCTTTCGCGTTTGTTGAATCCAAACAGGTTGGTTAAATGTATTTCTGGATTTTGTCTTTTCTTTGATGGGCCATGTTTCCAGTTTTGGTAATATTTTGTGTTTTCTTTTTAATTTGGTAGTATTTATACACTTTTACCGACAGGACCTGATGAGCGTCATCATCGACCACATCGCCAACTTCGAGGAGAAGGTCTTCGACTCCGACATGTTCAACATGCTCAAGACCGAGCAGCTCAAGGCCTACTACAACTGGTTCCTGAAGCCCATCAACGCCTGCAAGTGAGGCCTTCCAGCGTAGGAGCATAACATCAGCCTAACTCGGCTATTAGCTATCGATCAATGACAATGAAATAGAGATTGGCTCGAGAATCTAACCTATAATGTCTTATGTAATTATATTTATTTTCAGCTTTCTTGAATTATTGCCGATGTGGCATGTGTGGCGATATCAATGCATATCTGCTAAAAAGAAGACTAATAAGCCACACATAAGCAATGCTGCTAAAGCAGCTGCAAACACTCCATTTTACTTTCTCTTTCAAGTTTTTGGTTCCCTTCTTCCGTAGTTTCACTTCATCCCCTTAGATTTCTGCTCTGACCCCTCGCTTCCTTTACTGCCTATTCTGTCCTCTCCTTCTCTGCTTCCCAATTGGTCCGTTTACATCTTCCCTTTCCCCGCGACGGCCTGTCTCCTTTTCATCTTTCCCTGCAGACGCTCCTCGACTTCTCTTCAAAAGCGTCCCCACCTCCTTATTCTTACTCTCGACCTTCACTCCGTGGCCTGCTTTCCCTCGTCCCTGCCCACACTAACCCTCCATCACCGTTCTCTTGGCAGGGACCTGCGACTGAAGGTGCTCAAACAGACCCACTGGATGGCTCTGGACAAGCACCGGGCGCTGCTCTCGGTCACCGAGGACGGGCTACGGCAGTTCAGCCGGGCCTTCACCTCGCGGCTCCACCTGCAGATGCTCGTACAGGTAACACTGACCGGGTCTACTGCAGATGCTCGTTCAGGTAACACGGACAGAGTGGAGAGGAGCGGTGGGTGGTGCTGCTGAACTGCGAGGGCGCCACAGGGGCAGGGGGCTGCCGCCAGTCCAGGGTGTATTATCGACGGTAGCTGGAATGCTGTCGGGGCTCTCATGAATATCCGGTAGGATGACTCTTTTTTAATAAGTAAATTTACGCAAGCCAGCTGCCTATTACAATGAGTGTTCCGCGCGCAGTTTCAGCATATTGTACCTACTGCATTGACAGCATGTACTGCCTATTTCTACCCATTGACTGACCCGATTCGCCGCTCCCTCTGTCCGCCAGGGCAACATGACGGAGCGGCAGGCAGTGTCGCTGTTCGAGTCGTCCCGCTCGTGTCTGGGCCACCAGCCGCTGCCGCCCGTCCTGTGGCCCGACACCCGGGTGGTGCAGCTGCCCGAGGGCCAGACCTACTGCCGCGCTGCCTCCTTCAACACCAGCAACACCAACACCATGATCACCAACTTCTACCAGTGGCGGCCGGGCACCATCCGCGCCGCCTGCGCCCTCGAGCTGCTCATGGTGAGACCCGACGGACGACCGGCGACGGCTAGCGTCACCGCCGGATGGCCACGGTAGCACGTGAAACACGAGCTCAGCCTACCAGTGTCTATACTCGTACGTGACAGACGACCTTGAGTAGCTTAGTGAGCGGTGATTCTGCCTGTGGTAATGCATCGGAACTGAGCTGTTTACTTTCACCACCAATTTACTCAAAATTGTCCGATTATTTCCGCGTTGGAGGGAGCTAATGCCGTTTGTTTTTTGCACAGTGCTGTTGACACCATAACGTCATCTAAATCTGACTGACTCACCGTTCACCGTCAGAACGTGATGGAGGAGCCAACGTTCGACTTTCTGCGGACCCAGGAGCAGCTCGGCTACCACGTGTTCTCGCTGATGCGCTGCGTGCACGGCATCCTCGGCTTCACCATCAGCGTCAACACACAGGCCGACAAGTTCACGTCAGTATTATGCGGCGGGGTGGTGATGAAGAGACGTGGGCTAGATAGTTAGGTAGTGTTGCGAGTTTTGAAGGTGTTTTATGGCTTGAGCAAGTTGTTTTCTATACGGTTGTTCATGGTTTAGTGTTCATACATAGTATCGTTCTTTTACTGAAATTGTGTTTACTTGCCCTTTGCTTCACAAAGTACCTTCGAATGTTTCATATGAAGATCGTCTTTGTTTATTCAGTCACTGGGTAGTGATTAAGCATCACCTTCTCGTGCATTTTAAAGACCCATCGTCCCATCGTTCACTGCTCTTCCTCTATTCAGACCGGAGCACGTGGATGAGCGTATCGCCGCCTTCCTCGACTACTTTGTGGACAAGCTGTCGGCGCTGACCAAGTCGGAGCTGGATGTGGTGCGGGACGCTCTCATCAGGAACAAGCAGTGCGCAGACGTGTCGCTAGAAGAGGAGGTGAACAGAAACTGGGCAGAGATCTGCTCTGGGGAGTATGTGTTCGACCGACTCGACAAAGAGGTGAGGTGGGGGACAGAAAGGGGTGGTAGGGCCGTGGGATGGGGATAGTGGCAGCTTGCCTGAGTCCGGGAAGGAAGGCTGAAAGGGCGGAGTTTTTTCAATGTGTTTGGTAGTGAGTTGGCAGTTTGTTCAAACTTTGCGGGCTGAGAATTCTTCGGCTGAGTTTGTTCTCTGTTTGTATTATTTTATGAGTTTCCATGAACACTTTAGAGGCGATGTGGCACTACCCGTCACTCATTCGTGGTATTTGCGTACCGAAGAACCGCATTTTTCTTGCATCAGTCTGGTGCCGTGCGCTCTGTTCTGACCACGCTCCGCGCTCCCGCCGGTGCTGTGCGCTCTGTTTTGACCTCCCTCCTCCCCCCGCCGCGCAGTCGGAGCTGCTGCAGTCGATCACGCTGAAGGAGGTGCGCGACGTGTTCAAGGAGGCGGTGACGTGTCAGCGGCGCGCGCTGGCCGTCCAGGTGGTGGGGAGCGCGGCGGCCGACCTGCCGCCGGTTGGCACCCCGGTCACCCCGCCCGCAGAGTGTGCCGGCGACTCTGCCAGCAGCGGGAGCGCAGCCGCCGAGGGGGGCGCCCAGTCGGCGCACGCACTGCCGCTGCTCCTGGGAGAGGCGGCATCGCACGAACGGCGCTACCTGGACTCGGTGGAGAAGTTCAAAACGGAGCTCTACCTCTTCCCCGTGACCAGGATCGTAGAATGAGGCTGCGCCGGACCACACTAGGACCAATGGTTTAACTGAAAACAGTGCCACAGTGGTGTTATCATTACGTGTCGATGCTGCTGTCATACCAATACAAAGTTTCCAGTCGATCGACTTTCTACTTTTACAGGGCGCTACTCTGCTGTGACAGGTTATTGTGGAAGTCGAGGAGCTGTGTCAAAATGTGGAAAATAGGCGAACCGTGTTGCTATCGAGTGCCGACTGTCTGACTTAGAGGCACCTGGCTTGTGATCTTTGTTTTATGTAATACAACTGTATTCACGGTACATTGCGTCTTCCTTCAAGTGTCTGGTTCGGAGTGGAGCCTGACGACTGGCGAAGAAAAGGGAAAGCTATATGCGTTGCTGAAGATTCGTAAAATTGCATTTTCCTTGGCATAACTTTTCCTCTACGGATGGGCAGACAATGGAGATTGTGTGTGTCGATGGATAAGAGTCCTGTTTGCTGGTTGATACGGTCAGCTGGACACCTCCCTAGTGGCGTCATCTGCAGCACTAAGTTTGCTGTACCTACACAGTGGCGGCGCTACTAAATTCCCAAGCGTACCGTGGCTCAGTAGGACATCACTCAGTACAGTGCTCCGTACTCGCCCACTGGCCACTGCAACTGGGCCGGGGTACGGGTCGGTACGCGTTTGGGGTCTTAGAGTATGTAGGTACTTCCGTAAAAGTTCTGGCCATCGACCGGTGTTTTTTTTTTTTTTACACCAGGTTGATACTCCAATACTCATATCGCGGCTGGCAAATGTTTCGACTTCGCAATGCTCTGTGTGCAGAAATATCAAGGACGCACTTTCAGAAGGTATCAACCTGTATCTGTATTCGCCACTGATAGTGTTTCTTGCTTTCCACGTAGGAACGTTAGGTCAGTTCGCCATTACGTCACCCGGCCGCCTTGCCATTGGCGCCGTGTTGCTCTGTCTGACACGGCCGTGTTTCTGTTTCGGTCCAGTATCTGACACGGCCTGTTCCTGTGTCGGTCCGGTATCTGACACGGCTGTATTGCTGAGTCTCGGTCCAATATCTGGCACAGTTGTGTCGGTCCGGTAGCTGACACGCCAGTATTCCTCATGTCGGTTTGACGAGTCTCTCGGCAGTCGGCCGGCGACCCGCCACCGCTCACCCGCTGCAGATCTCTGGGGGAGGGGAACTGTTTGTGACGCCGGCCACATCAGAGGCCGCCGCCTCGCCTCCGATCCGGCCAGGAATGGGCCGCGGACACCGACCGACCTTGCTCTGACACGGTCCGCTAGGGAGGTGATGGGCTGAGCGGACCGGCCGGGAGCGTCGCCCACTGCTAGCAGAGGACATTTGGCCCGGGTTCGAATGAGGGAATCCCGCACAAAGTTGCCAAAAAAGTGGAGGGTCTACACTCAACAGATTTGTGGATCGGTCCGGTCATCCTGTGAACCCAAAAAGGAAAGCTTCATTTGAAATTGCTGGTTTTGTGCATAATATGCACTCAAAGCTGCCCCGTTATCGGTAAATGAAATAAAAATTCAAGCTTTTAATTTTTACTTCTCCGGCCCGGCCGAGGAGGGTTTGTGCCGCCGCCCGCCACCGACGCCTGACGGTTTTTCGCAATGGCTCTGAACGCGCCGGCTATAGAGAGCTAAAATTGGGAAACCCTGGGGCAACTTGTTCCCTCTACACTTCTCTGATGATATCGTCGCAATGCGGAGAAACAGAGAAGCGAAACTTAGCAAAAATATTCTTGAATAGGTAGCGGTAGTTTTGTCAAAATGTGTTGTCAAGCTCATTTGAATTGACGTCACAATACCTAACGTTAGATGTCCAATTATAGAGTGACTTCGTCCGATTATAGATTCGACGCGTCTCGATGGGAGGAACACGATGCCAGCAAAAGCAATGCCGTAGCTTTCCTGCAGGAAAGTCAAAAGTCAAACTTTTGACTCAGGAATCAAAAGTTTTTTTTTAAGAAAAACATTTTTCATAAAAGCGGCTAGTTTAAAGAGTTTTTTAGTAAAAAGAGTTTTTGCCCTCTGGAGGCTAAACCGTTGATCTTAGCCCAAATTTGACGACAATTTACAGATTAAGAACGTCAGAGCTAATCGAATGCTCTTTTCCGCTGCCGTGTTGCTCTATTTATTCCCGACTTATATGCGCCAATTTGTCGAATATTGTCGTCATATAGACGATATTTGACTTTTGATGACCTGCACCGACGTGACCTTTGACCTGACCTAAAAATAACTGCAGTACTTTCGTCATGCTTTTTAACGCTCTTTCGAATGCCGCTTACCGCGTGTCGCTACGAGGCCCAGGAGCGGAGCTAGATGGGGAGGAGGGTTGTTCAAACACTACCTACTCCCTGGCCCGGCGCTGTTGGTGCCGAGCACCGGCCCGCCGCATATACAAAACGAATTTGGGTAGGCCTAAATAACTATTGATATATTCTATAGAATATATCAGTAGTTATTTACGCCACACAATAGATACGTGCATGTAACGATTAAGCTGTGCTCGCCATTAATCCAACGTTTCTTGTTTATGCTTGCGCGTCTAAAAATCAACCTCATATCCAAAGAGCCCCTGTTATAACCTAAATGCAACGCACTCGCACATATTTTTGGTGGCTTGGACGCGGCGCACTGGGATATTCTGGGACCACTCAACTCTGAATTGCATTATTATCACGAAGTCTCCGCTGGTAACGCACGTTTGCTCGACGTGACCCAGCGTATAATGTGCGTCATTTGCACCCGCTCATCCGGCTTTTTATAGTCGCATGTTACGCACGCTGCCTGACAACGGTGAAGATCATTGCAGACTGTATGTGTAGGTAATACGGTTTCATGGGGAATTTTCATCGAAACGGGCCACTTATGTACTTATGTATCCTGTTAGGTATCCGTGTTTTCCAGATGCCACAATGATAACGGTGCCATGTGTAACGCTCTCAGCACGCAACTTCTCAACATTACGGTCCGAACATGTTTGACAGGTTTCTCTGGAGTGATAAGTGGGGGCTTATCCAAATTATAAATTACCTTGAGGGTCGTACAGCTACGAATTTAGAAACTCGTCCAAGTTCATCTATAAGAAACGGACTTGAAATAAGTACGTTCCTGTACAGGGTGTCCCAAAAGTAAGGTCATCATTTGTTTTGGCCACACCGCCAAAAATACGCGATGGATAGAAGTAAATAGGACATCATATGAAAGAGCATTTTATAAAATTTTATTCTGATATACATATGAGTCAATACATTGGCTCGTAGCCCCACATTTGCTGCTTTTCTACATGGCTACCATTTCGGGCCGCGTGCACGAATAGACTGCGTTTTACTTCCTTCGCCATTCTGGAGCGATTCTCTGGTGAGATGCCGCTTATGTTTGCTCGGAGGGATCATCCTGTAGTTCTTCCCGGCTCGTTGGGTTGTCCTAAAAGACAACCTTTCCGTTGTGTACCCAGAGAATAAAAATATGAAGGTGTAACGTCAGGTGACCGCGGAGGCCATTCAATGGCGTTGCCCTGACTGAAAATTACGCGATCTCACATCCACTCTCGGAGACAATGCATGATCTTCAGGACGGTGCAAGCATAGTCTCCATCCTGCTGAAACCACTGCTGGTTGATGGTGTCGGCACAGCTGCGTTGCGACGAGCGGAAGAACCACTGGGAGGACTCTCGGCCACCTCTCTTGATTTATTTTCACCCGATTCCCGCTGTCGTCCTCAGGACCTCGAAGCACAGGTGGCTAAGTAATGTATACATGCCCTGTGCGTATATTATACCTTTTTTCTGACGTTTTACCGGTTGAGGCGAAACTATGCATGAGTTCAGAGATAGGGCGAGTTGATAGGGTCTGCTTAGGGCCGAAAACTGGGCGGTATTTACCCTTTGTTTTAATGACGGACCCTCTCTAAGAGTTGAATTTCGACCTTCTCAGTTTTATGCCTACTGCCACTGGCGGATCCTGGGGGGGGTCCACGGGGTCATGACCCCCCCCAAAAGGTCTGAGAGGGTCATTTGACCCCCCCCAAAAGCCGAAGACCTAAATGCGCTATAGACGCCGTCTTGCATGCTCAAAATCACCTGTCAAACACTTCTGAGCTAATACCTTTGTTTTTCTGGATCGTGTTGCGTGAAAAGGCGTATTGAAGACCAGAATCTTACTCGTTTTTGTCTCAACCGTGCGAGCACCAGGGGATGATCCAGGAAAACTCCAAGGGGATGGTCATGAATTTAATTCGTGGTGCCCCTACCTATACGCAAAATTAAAAACTCAACGGATTTCGGTCACTTAATTTTGGTGATGTCCTATTTTCATTTTTTATTTTGTTTGTTTTATTTTTAGTGCCCCTGGGCCCTGGCAGGTCAAAATCACGTCTGAGGCGAAAGAAATTCACGGGAATCCCAAAAATCACGTCAGGACATTCAGGGCCCTCTGACCAGCCTGACAGCTAGGGCCCTTCTTACTTCCTGGGGCCTCCAGTGAATAACCGCTAGTGTCTGTGTCTGACCGCTAGGGCCCCTCTGACTCCTCAGTAGGTAGGAGGCCCTCTGTAGAGGAGGTCCTCTGTAGAAAGGAGGCCCTCAGTAGAGAGGAGGCCCCCTGTAGAGAGGAGACCCCTTTAAAGAGGAGGCCCTCTGTAGAGAGGAGACCTGCTGTAGAGAGAAGGCTCTATGTAGAGAGGAGGCCCTGTGTAGAGAGGAGGCCCTCTGTGGAAAGGAGACCGCCTGAATGCAGAAGGCCCTCTGAAGAGTGGAGACCCGCTGTAGAGAAGAGGCCCTCTGAAGAAAGGAGGCCCTCTGTAGAGAAGAGGCCCTCTGAAGAGAGGAGGCCCTTTGCAGAGATGAGGTCCTCTGGCTCTTTGAAGAGAGGAGGCCCTCTGTAAAGGAGGCCCTCTTAAAGGGAGAGACCCTCAGTAGAGAGGAAGCCCTCTGTAGAGAGGAGGCCCTGTAGCTTCTGTAGTTAAGAGGCCCTGTGAAAAGAGGAGGCCCGCAGTAGAGATCGGTGGTCCTCTGTAGAGAGGAGGCCCCCTCTGTGTTTTGACAAATGTTTTTGCAAATTTTTCGCGGCGCTTCGCGCCGCCGATTTATGTACATACGTACAGGTCAATACGAAATCTTGACTGTAATTACATAAACCAACCGTGTCAAATTGAATCAGAATTCATATGTGTGCTGTAAAGGAACTCCGGCTTGTACTGCAATGCTAAAAGGGTGGTAAAATTTGTGTTTTGGAGCTGTGTTTCGACACATTCTTTTGCAAATTTTCTCGGCGCTTCGCGCCGCCGAT